TAAATCTAAAATAGTTTACCAGCATAGATCTAAAATAGGTTGGAGCAGTTACATTTTTTCAGGTGATTGTTGCCATTGTATGCTCCCAAGTCATTTCCAACTTATGGTGACTAATCTATCATGGCTATTATGGCTAATCTATCATGGGGTTTTCTTGGCAAGATTTGTTCAGTGGAGGCTTGCTATTGGCATCCTCTGAGGCTGTGTGACTTGCCCAATGTCACCCAGTGGGCTGATCCAGGATTCAAACTCTGGTCTCCAGTCATAGTCCAGGTCTCAAGCCACTATGCCACAGTGGCTCTCATATATATGGTTGCTATGTGTCTTCAAGTCATTTTCAACTTATGGAGACCCTAAGGTAAGCCTATCATAGGGTTTTCAGAGGTTTGTCATTGGCATCCTCTGAGGCTGAGAGAGTGTGACTTGCCCAAGTCACCCAGGACGTTTCCATGGACAAGCCAGGATTTGAACCCTGATCTCCAGTCATAGTCCATAGCTCAATAGCAGTAATTACTAACAAGAAGACAATGTACTTGAGGCAACGGGCTACCTTGAAGCTCATTTGGGGAGAAAGGCGGGATATAAATCCCTTAAACAATAGTAAATATAAATAATAAATTTTATTAATAAAAATTATTAGTAATTTATTATTATCCTTAAACAATCATTTAAAAAAACCAAATCCTCTGAGGCTGAGAGAGTGTGACTTGCCCAAGGTCACCCAGTGGGTTTCCCAGGCCATGGCCTCCAGAGTCCTAGTCCAACACCCAAACCTTTTTTAATTACTTGATTTTAATTAACCAATTAATTAAATAGTTTAATTACTAACAGGAGAACCACACCTATCCACCAGCCTACAGTTGAGAGGCTGTAACACTTCTGAGGGAGAACATCCAACAATCACTTTTAGACAGGCTCCAAATCTGGCCTTTTAGTTTCAACCCAATCTACGGAAGCCGGGAAGGACAATCTTCCCCATCCCATAGCGTCTTCTCCATAACGAGAACCCTGTGAGGAAGGGGGGAGGAAAACACCTCCCAACCGGCACTAGAGCTTTCTGAGCCCCGCCCCTCTTGCTCACTCATGGGGGAGTGACGTCACCCTCCCCGCGCTCACGTGCCGCGCGCCACTCGCGCGTCGGGCGTCACGCCGCTCCGTCCCCTCCGCTAGCCAATCAGAAGCGGGAAAAGGTTTGCCGGCCTAGCCCTCTTCTCCACCAGCCAATCAGAAGCGGAGAGAGGGTTGCCGGCCTAGCCCTCTTCCGTCTCTTCCAAAAGGAGGAAATAGAAAGGGCGGGGGGAGGAAAGAGAGAGAAAAAAAGCGAGAGGGAGGAGAGGAGGGTCTAAGACGACGCTCCTCCAAGGCGTAGTCCAATCCCTTCCGCCGCCAGGGGCGGGACTTCCGCCCGGAGCCGGAAGCGGGGCTCGTGGGTCTCCCTGGCGCTCTCTGTTTCCCTCATATGCGAGCGAATTGTTCCTGTTCCTCCTCCT